GGTGACCCAGGATGACCCCAGCACTTGTGCTACAGTGCTCCAATCTCCGAGCTGTCCTGGCGGCCTAAAATTGGATTCGGTTTGGGCTCTTGAAGCCGTCTATGACTGATGTGCAGGACTTTGAATCCCGGATGAGGGTCGGTTGGACGCGGGGAAATGCTCTCATAGGCTCGAGATGCATCCTGTGGAAAAGCAGGGCTCGCAGTATTCTGACAATGACAAGGTCAAGTTTGGTGTCCCATGCACAGTTTTGTGCTTGTACTTTCATGCTGGAGGACGTGCAAGCAAGTGGGTAGTTTGCTGGTTGAGGTCAGAGGCAGGTTCCGTGATGCAGTGTCAGCAAGTATGGGTAAGGTATAGCAGGGAGAAGCAAACGGTCGTGCCGGCAGTGTCACGAGCGAAGAGGAGAGTCGCTGCAGCCTACTGAGCTAGAAGCTTGTTGCTTGAGCTCGACGATGCAATGAGTTTGCGGATTAATCCGCGAACCTGCGAATCTGGCCGAAGCAATATGCGTGTATGAGTCTGATAAGATCTTGGTAATATTTAGAAAGGCTGCATGATTCCTTTCTATTCCCACCTCATCAAGGTATATTATGTCTTTGAATGCAGGTCTGTAAGTGGATGTTGGTGCTTGAATATTTGCTGGAGATAGAGGAGTATCATCTTCTTCGGCTCTATGGGCCCTAGAGTGGCGTCCGGGAATCCTGATCAGTATTTTATGCTTCCTCCGACCAAGAACCGTCGACTGTGGCCACTCTTCCGACATGGTCTGGATCCTTGATGGGTTGAAAGATCTCCGCCGGTGGTGAAGCTCCTGGTTGATTGACAAGTGTTCCAATGATGCCCTTCGAGTACCGCTTCTACGCGTTGCTACGTTGGCTAGGTGTGCGACAGAAAACGGGGATACCGCGGCAAATGCAGTTGTTTACGACCCCGAGCAACAACAATGTCGCCGCGTAGTCTATGCCTACTGCATCTGATATGTAGGTAAGCAATATTAAAAAAGCGCCACTGACTTAATTGAACAATAAGGCTTGACTGCTGCGCCAAAGCAACGAATGGAATTGGTACGAAAGCCGATGGTGCTAGCAGGCGATAGGACCTTGGTGTGCTGCGTCGTTGCAGACAGCGGCATAAATCTTGAACTCCCTCAAAATATTCTTGATATCTCCTTTGCGGGAGGCAAAGGAGCACTGCATCTATGCTTCCCTTCCAGTCGAACAAAAAGCATATGGACCCAACTTTAAATTCGTCATAGAAGCACGACTTCACGACGCCCATGTCCAAATGGAAGTATGCCACAGTGGACGACCGCAGTGACAGCCCAAACGATTCTTTTACGGGTGGAATGAGAACATGCTTCAAATCAAGACTCTCTGGCGTATCATTCTCGTCGTCAACATGCAATTTCACTTAATCAACGCAGTCTTGCCGTATCAGCATGCGCAGGTGGTTCTGAACAAAACTTCGATCCGATACTGAATACATTCGGCAATATAACAAATGGTGCTCATGTCCTTCCTGGTATGCGCTGACTCTTTTGTTTTCCTCGTCGTGTCCATCGGGATCTGGCCTTGCTGAGGGGACGTTCGAGAGCAGCTTGACGTCCGACCGATGGAGTACCTCTTTGGAACCACCCTGCCAAGCGACATTTTTCCACAGATCGCTTCGTCATCTAGGGGCGTCGTTGCGATCCTCGAGGACAAGTTTCAACTTTATAAGGCGGACTGGAAGATTTTCCTTCTCTTCCTGTAAGTCTTCACTTTCAATATCAGATTAAATGATGACGAAGAGTCCCGCCATAGCTTCTTCGTTGACACATGCCGAACATCGTCCCCGTTCCGAAGAACCGGAGTGTCGCAACTTATTGGGATGCGTCTGGTCTCCATAAAGTCCATTCAGAGGTTTTTAATTTGGGAGCGACCTGCAATACTCGACCTCGGACGTAGTGCAATTAAGGAGGGGCTGAAAGACGTCCACCCGTATGAGAGCGACGGCACTGAAAGGCTTCCAGGCTTCCGGGAAAAAGACGTCCCGATGTATCAAGTGGCAATATTGATGGTTTGGATTAGGTTGAAATCCATGCTACCTGGACCTTTCTGTATGCTGCAGTGGCTTTTCTAGGGTTGAAGAGAAGTGATGTGCTGCTTGACTTCGTCCTGCGCCCCGGCTCGAGAACCATGTATTCCGTCGCCGGGCATTGGGTGGGGCCGGGGCCGGGGCCGGGGCCGGCTGGGTGGGCCCCACTGCGCCAGTGGCCCATCGCGCTGACCCAGAGAGTTGCGCACCATGAAGGGGGATGGAGGTACATTCAGCCCGGATCAATCCGCCAGCCCACGATAACGTCGCAAAATCCCCCAATCGACTGAGATCGGCCTTTTCAAGTCTTATGCAAAACACAGGCTTTTGAACATGTTCGGGTGGCGAGTACTGAGTTTGCACTATACGCCATACCAACTGTACCGCCAAAACCGAAGTGCACATTTTCGAAGAGAACTGAGCACATCTTGCGATCCCATAACACTACAACGTCGCATGAATTTTTGCAGAGTCGTTTCCTTCATAAAGCATCGACACGAGTATGTCTATGTACAGCAAGGAATGTCCGATAAAATGGATGATTGTTCCGGCTAGAATCGTTGACTTTCGATCTTCTGGCGATCGCACCGTCGGGTACGTACCACATGTGCACAGACCACCACATCCCCACCAACGATTGAACCACCAGCCCGCCGCGCTTCCAGCCATTGGACACCAAAACGGCGCCTCACTGAAAACACCCTGGCTGTGGCTGTGGCAGTTATCCCAACCATCATTTCTCAGATGCGACCAGTTTTTAACCGATTGAAATGTCAATGGATTCCTTCAAAGCACTTCAACAGATCTTCGGTTGACTCAGACAGTCGTGCTCTACTGCACGTCGTCATGGCCACTTTTGCTGGGCTTCAGGCAATGCGTCAAGCAGTGCACATGCTCCCCTCCCCACCGAAACCTTGTGCATTGTGTCCGAACACGTCCTCCCCTTCCTGAACGGCTGCGACAACTTGTGGCGGTGAAGAGGGCGGCTCTCTCTGTTGCCTCATCCCCCAAAGAAATCAAAGCGAAGATTGAATGGAGGGAGCTTCTTCGCTCCTCCTAGGGTGGCTGCGGACTGCCGCACTCCCCTTTACACAAGAAATCATCGTGCATTGCCCAAACCACTGCAGAAGCACAATTTTCGGGCATTCTCAGTTACCCTTTTTCCGACGTCATATGACTACGCTTTCGCGAATAGCTCGATACGTACGATCTGGCTCCAACTGAGAAATATGCTACAGAAAGCAGTGAGATCAGGGCTGTGGAATACCATACTTCTAGATCGCGTGCATCGGCCTAAGTGACGAAAGTTTGAATCGAAGTGTGTCGGAACAAGAATGATGCCGTGCCACAGGCCTGAAATTGCTGATTTCAGCAATGCCTCTATCATCTGGGTGCATGCTGTACGCGTCGATTTACCCACTTTTGAAGTTGCAGCTGCCGGCCACGAGCGCTATCGACACTGGAGGCTCCGGCGCGGCTTTGCAGCTTTGCGGCCATCGGCAACGCGGGTGGGGCGTGCGCACCGGACGCGCCGGCCGACTCCGGCGCGAATGGCGGGTTGCCTACTCCATGCAGCATGCGCAAAGACTCCTGCGCATATGGCTACGCGTCAATCTACCGTTTCGCACTCGGAATCCGCGGGCGGGCGGGTGAAAGGAGTAGATCAAGGACCCTCCCGCGCACCACATTCCGACGAAGGCTCGCCCAGCCGGACGACGATCCAATATGACAACATCAGTTTCTGCGACTTTACTCCTCCTCGTCGAGCAAATGAACGCCAAATCGCCTCATTGTACTACCATTCTGAGCAAAATCAAGAACAAAATGCACAAACACGGTGGTTGTTGCTGTTGTGTGTGTTGACAAATGTCAGAGTCATAGTGTTGAGGCCGCAGTACCCTGCTGTGCTCGGTTCCTCAACATTGAAGCGTCGCCATTTTGTAGGCCTCCGGTCAAATGTGAATTTTCAACGACGAATAAATCAATCTTAATCAGCTCTATTCACTGAGTTAATTCAAACTTTTGCTGAATGTGAACAGGCTGAGATATGCAACCATCTGATACGACAGAGTCGATAACTTGAAGCGGCCTGACTGACTGGAGGGTGATGACTGGATCGTATGCATCCAGTTGTGCGCGGCGTGACGAGACTTGAAATATGGCATAATGTGCGTAAATTTACTCACTCGACTAGATCATCGTTGTTTTCTAGTTAATGAACAAATGAGTTGACGATCAAGATCAGTCCAAAAATAGGAGTCGACAATCGATAAAAATTCAGTATCACTCTGTCCTTCCAGCATGATGTCTTCCCCGTGCTTACGAAAGTAGCTCTCCTTTTCTAGCTACTGCTCTGTGTGCCCTTCACCTACCCATTGCGTGAATGTGCAGGAAGTGAGAGGTGTCGATCTGCTTACAGGTATCAAGTATCAAACCTAAGAGTTTGATTATGGCGCAGAACAAACGCTGGCGGCATGGCTAACACGAGCAAGTCGAGCGAAGGCATCCGCCGTCAACTTCTGATGCTCATTCTTACGACTTTGCGCATCAGTGATGTCGGTCTGCTTGACGAATGCTTGGTGCCGTGTTGCCCTACAAAGGGTTGCAACTTTGCTAAATGGCATCGGGAGCCTCGCCGCCTCCGTATCGCACATCCAATCGACCGGCGGCCTGATGCGTATGGAAGCGAACCTGCTCGGCCACGACGTATCGCTGGGGTTGGACGTGCCGGAAGGCGATGCCGATCCGCTACCGGCTGTTCCCTAAATGCCGTCGGCCCCGCTTCTTCGTGGCCAGGAACAGAAGATGGCGGGGCCGCTGTGACCGTCGCGGTGCTGATGGCCAACGGCAGCGGCTTGCGGGCGATGACATTTGCCATCGGGGTCATTGTGCTACTGATCTGCCCTTGCTACTTGGCCGAGATGGCCATGGCGCCGCTCGACTGGGGCGGCATCGCCATCAGCCTCGTGATGCCACTAATCCCGAACGGCATGGCCCTGAGGACCACTGTGGGCATCATTGGTGCTGCCGTGACGCCGCATGCCCTCTGTCTATGTGTATTCCAGCCTTTGACGGCCGGTAATCTCGAGCTGGCCGCGCCGGGTCGTCACCGTAGCGCCGCCCTTCGTGGTGGTGCGTGGGGGGTGGACTCGATCCGGCGATCAATTAGCAATAGGTCTATGTTTAAAGTTCCACTTGCTGTAATGTTTGACGGATTGTGCAGTCGTCATTATCCACCCAGGCTCTGTCGTTTGCAATCTGAATGCGTAGGACATAGTTGCAAACGGGTTTCAGAAGGCAACGTTGATGCAGTGCTGCTACCACAAGCTTGACAACCCACTTGACTACATCGCTCTACCAGCCATTAACCGTCTAATTGTTCAGGTTCTACATGCGGTCAATAAAAGGTTTTACTAGACTGGGCATATGTCTTCATCCATTCTTCATTTTTCCATTCAGCGTTCAGTTGCTTACTCAAGGGGTGCCGCTCGGGAAGCTTCTATTCTCGGAAATGGCCGTTGAAATTTATAGCCGTGCTGTTCACTTGCAAACCGAAGAATTTCAACGTGGTTTCATGTTGAATGGACCACTTGCCGTTCTTCATTAATGTTGGTCAATCTTGATCACCAGACCGGGCCAAGGCTTGATGCTGTTAGAGGCCTGCTGGTGGCCATGATCGCAGAGCTAGCACGTCCAGGAGCCCTCGATCTTCAGGTTGGAAATAGCATTGAGTTGTGCAGCGTCCTCGGGTCGGGTCTCTTTGTCCGCGCTCAATCAGAGACTCGGCCACCGTGCAGCAGCTCCACGACGCGGTACTTCAGGAAATCAAAAGTGTAGCTCTCTGAGCCTGAGCGTGAGTCCTCGCCAAAGGCCCAGCCATCTGGAAGGACATTTACGTGGAGCGTTGTCTGCACACTCCCTCGCAGCCAGCCTTCGCACAGCTGCATGAGAAGTCTGGCCGTCACACATTTTATGAAGAATTCTTTTGTGAATTTTTATATAACTAAGGATATATAAGAGGTCCCCCTTACTCTAACTACCCCCTATATATCTAACTACTTTTATTAACTACTACTATACTATAGTAATTATATATATATCTTTAAGTTTTTTTAATAAAATACTATACTTTAATAATATAAAATACTTAATTTAATTAATATTATATAATTTATTTATTTTAAAGTTTATTTTAATATATTTAAAATATCTCTATATTTTAGTTTAATAATATATTATTTTATTTAAATATATTAGTAAAAAGTAATAATATATTTAATATATTATTAAACTTTATATTAAAGAACTAAGTTATATATATAAAAATCTATATACTTTATTTTAGTTCTTTTAAATAATTATAAAGAAACTATTATTACTTTTAAAGTAATAATAAATAGTATTAATATAGTATAGTAATAATATTTTAATATTAAAGGAGTAATAAGTTATAGTAGTATAAAAAAAGAGATACTTACTCCTTATAATTAAAGTAATTTATATTCTCTTTATATACCCCTATAAGTAGCTATAGAGGTTTCTCTATAAAGCCTAGGCTATCCTAGCTTTTAATTATTTCTTTGTGAGAGTTATATAGTAGTTAATAAGGTGCGCCTCTAAGCGGCAAACTACAAAGAAGAAAACTTAGAAGGGAAGAAAGATCTAGCCGTCACACCACCATGACGTTCTCCTGACACCTCTGCGGGGCCAGCTGTTGCTGAGCGAAATGCTTGATCCCAATGGCGCGTCTTTGAACAACACCGCCACGGCAACCGAGTCAAATAAGCTTCGTGTACTTCATCGCCAGTACTAATGGTGATGGGGTTGCGCCAGGTCGGGCGCCGGTAGGCCGGAGCTCGACAGGGGAAATCGGGGATTCCTCGCACTGCTGCGAGTGACCCCTTAACCAGTCCGTCGATTGTGGAGATATCTTTGAAATAATACGCAACCATCTTGAGACAAAGTTTCAATAAGACCCCAAAAGTTAAATCTTCCGCCGAGTGTGAGGCAGTGGAGTGGTTTACATTTTGTTGGCTGACAGTCGGCGGCAAATCGTAGGGCGAAGTTCCCTCGGGCTTCAAAAATGTTTCCAAACGGCCAAATTCACGGTGCACACATCGTTGCTCTTCGATTCCAAGACCAAGTAATTCGTCAAAAGAATCGTTCGTCGTCAATAGCGCGCAACGCATCATCGTCGACATTGATAGAAGATAAGATGGCGAGGAAATCAGTGTAAACGCGGGCAACATCGATCTTCATCGGGAATGAGGAATGTAGTTGTGGTATTATATTTCTTGAAGAGTTTCAGGGGCTTCAAGAGTCTACGCACTGCAACGATGATGGCAACTAAGCCCCGGGAGATAATTGATGTGCTTTTCTCGCGGCTATGGGAGCTAAACCATTCGGCGACCGCATCAATTCCGGCGGAGATGCAGCAAAGTGAATCTATTTGTGGACAATGTATTAGAACCAGTCCAAGCTACAAATCAGATATCGTGGAAGATGTGTACTAGTGGGCACCATGTAACTGCTGGCCTTCTTTCAGGGTGACCCTCCGTCTTTTTCCTGTCCCGGCAACGTGATCAGAACCTTCTCGTTAATCAAATGTTTACTTAGGCCCATCAATGTCGTGTCGGAATTGTTTTCGGAACCCGACACAGGCTTCGTCTTCACTTCGCATGAATTTCTCGTGAAGCGCTCTTTCTTCGTTTGTTATCAGCCCAGATCTGAAAAATCGAAACACCATAGGAGAAGCGCTGAGGCTTCGGCTAGTTACGTATGGCGTGCCAGGTGGCTTGCAACCAATTCTTCCTACCTATTTGACGATTCAACCTTTATAAACAATTCCGCCTTTGTAAATAATTCGACCTATCCAGGTAACATGCCCAATTTGACGGATATTATCCCATATTTTCCTGTGAAAACTAAGAGATGAAGACACCAGTATGCAATTCTGTATTATCGCACGCCAACTTATCAACACCGTTTCCGACCCTGTCCGCCTCTCTTGCCCGCCACGTTCACGAGCAGGCTCAACTGTTCAATATGATGAATTGCCTGTGACGTGCTATATCCACTGAAGGGTCTATCCGATCGAAGAACTGTGTCGGTCGCCCTACAACACCGCGCTCGCTACCCTTCACCTCCAACCACCCTAGCCAACTATCGTCAACTCAGACAACCCAGTTCCCGCACAGTTGTCTCAAGCTCTGGCCAGCCTCAACCTGGGCTTCGTTCTTCTTCGTAACCTTGTCTCTAATCATCCGAAGCTTCCTATCGCTCTTGGACTCAACAGCCCAGCCCCTTGTTGGCCATTTCCAGCCCGATCCCTTGTCGTCAACATCGTTGTCCCTGGCCGCAGTAGCAGAAGCCCGGTCCTCCTCATCGAGAACGGCGACGTGCACGAGCGCGAAATAGATCTCGGCGTCATATCTGTCCCTCTGCGCCTGGCTCTGCAGCAGAAACAACACGACGCGGTCCGCGAGGGCCAGCTTGTCGAGTTGAACCCGGTAGTGCTCGGGGCAGAGGCTAGGAGCCGCCGCGCACGTGTTGGTAGCAGCCTTGCTCTCTCTTTGTATCTTTTGAAGCGCTTGCACTATGTCCGATTTGCTGGCATCCGGGGACACATCCAGGAACTCGTACATGGTCATGTGTCTGTTGTAAACCGTGTACATGTCCTTCTGCAGGTTGCATCCAGCCTCTATAGACATTGTAAGCATGTATCATCTCGACCCGCCACCGAAGCACGCATTACTTACCGAGCGTTTCATCGTATGGAGAGACAATGTTGGGGAGGAGACTGCTCATGGCTGCTTCGGTTGGCGAGGAACTCCAGTAAACAAGACCTACAAGACATGCCAGGATGGCAGTGACGTACGTGTAGTTGATCGGCATCTTGCGCTTGTTAGATGATGCAGTTGTGGAACAATGGGGCAGAAAGTTCAGGGAGGTGTCAGCCACGGGTATTTGTAGAAAAGGCCCCGAGTGCTGTCAACCTCAAAACTTAACAAAAAGAACCCGACAAGTTTCGGGCTGTCTTTCATACAACAGAGAGGCAGTGACGGGAACTTTTTCGCCTCACTGGTCTTGAAAGAATATTCAACCCAGTACAAAAACCGTCCCTGCTGTCATTTGAATATCTGATATCTGATGCTATCTGAGTTCCGACCAACAAAGAAATCAAAAGAGCAAGTGCCCGCCCTACTCGCCTCGTAATCTACAAGTTGTACTGGACCGCAAAGTGGCCCGCAATCTGGCCCTTGACATCCCGGACCATCTTCACCACGTCGTTCCGCACGAGCCTTTCGGATTCCGCATGCTCGTCGCCATCCTGCACAAGCCTGCCTTCCTTGGCGGCCATGGAAATGACCAAGCTGCCCAATCCCTTCGACAGCCTCCAGCCAACCTTCTGCAGGAGGTCCACGTCCTCGCTGGCCTTGGACATGAGGGCATCAATCTCGATGAGGCAAGTCTCTATGATCTTGCAAAAGGCATACATGGAATCCGACGCATGGCTCAGAGACACACCATCGCTCAAAGCGTTGACGCCCGTTGTCTCCCCTGTCTGCTGCCTCGATTGAAGGAAATTGCCTGCGCCGCAGGATATGGACCGGCTCTCGCTCATGTGGCCGTGTATCTCTTGCAGGTCCCTGAGGATCAAGGCGATGATGCCAACCTGCCGCTCCACAGCCCCGCGGAGCCGGCCGACACTCTGATGCACCTTGACAGACCGCGGTCTGGTCTTCCCGGGTTCGGCGTGGCGGAACCACCGTCGAACCTTTAGCAAGATCGCGGCCGGCGTTGTCGCGGAATCCTCCTCGAGGCTGTCGCGGGCCGCCTGCTCATCCGCCTTGTCCCACATGTCGGCGAGGGCAGCCAGTTGGTCCGACTCCCACGAGACGTTGAAGAAGAAGCCCGCCATCTCCGCCTCCCACGTGCGCTTCGTGTCCATCCACTGGTTCTGGGCAGAGCCCCACGAGCCCGAGACCTTCTGAACTTCGAAGGTGAGCATGGGCTTTTCCTGCCCAAACAGCTCGTCGGACAACGTGTCGATGAGGAACGTGGCATGGCTCGTGGACACCTCGAAGCTCACCCCGGTGCCGGAGACCACAACCCCGAGGACCATGGGCACCTGGAGCACTCGCGTCGAGTTGTCCGTAAGGCGGATTCCCGGCGGGTCGTTGGTTTTGGGGGCTGAGGAGGGAGAAGAGGAGAGGAAACTAGGCAGGGACGGGAGCGTCGGGAGCGCCGGGAGTCCCGAGAAGGTCCAGGTGGCGGCGGCGGAGCTGACCGCCAGTAACCAAGACACGTTTTCGACGATGAAAAAGATGATGGGGCCAAGCTTTTGAAAGAACCAGGCGACAAGCGCGAGAGCGGAAAGGACGATACCGCCGTAACAAATCCACGGACCCCAGACGTAGATGGTGACACAAATCTTCCACGGACCCGAGACGCAGACGCTCACACAAATCTTCCATAGGCCAGCCAGCAGAGGCGCAATGCTTGGAGGTGACGGCGGCGAGAGGACTGTGTTATTCGGTTTCTGCTGCGGCTCTCTGGTCTCTGGCTCTGGTTCCGGCTCCGGCTCTAGCTCTGGCTCCGGCTCTAGCTCTGGCTCTGGCTCCGGGACTTTTCGCGCTGGAGGAGGCGCTCGGAACTGTGGCTCTCTCGGCGGCGGCTTGTTCTGAGATGTATCGCTGGGCCTGCCCAACGGTCTGCAATTAAGGCTTTCGTAAAAGCTCTCCATGGCAAGGAAAATACGTGCGGTGGCGGGAGATGGGATGGGTAGAGGTTGGCTGACTGACCAGGCGAGGGTTGATGATGTTGCCCATCCTCCTAATTCACATCGAAGCATCTCGCACTAGTCTTTTGTACCCCTCGGCGGGCAGCAGACAATAGGATTGACTCGTTTCGGCGCGGGAACCCGTCCATGAGCGATGAGACGAGCTGCTTTTGGCCTCGCCTCATTTGGCCGGCTTCTACCTTGAATCCTGGTGAAAGCTTGTGTTCGGCGTTTCAAGCCGCCATGAATATCTCAAAAGAGGGAGAAAGAGGGCTGAAGTGTCGGTTTCTGACTATGAGCAGTCACATCGGCCGTCGACCGCCGGTCGCTCATGTTAAAAAGTGATAGGCATGTGCGCTTGGACGTTTTGCCGCTGCGATGTGAGCCGTCATGGTTTTGGTGCAAGATACAGCCATCGAACAAGACAGATGCCGTCGCCATAAGGGGTTCGTCAGTGCCAGCGCAGCATACCAATTAATCAAGTCAAAACTGAGGCTCGAGATTGGCTGATTAAATGACTTTTCGCGATACTTTTAATTATTTTAACTAATTTGATTTAATTTAATTCAAATTACCTAAATAGGAAGTTAGTAAAGCTCTTATAATATTCTTAGAAAGTCTAAACTTATATTATATAATAATCTAAGGTTATATAGCTTTCTATTAACCTTTCTACTTAAAGTAGTAGCTACTAATAGTAATATTACTACTTTAAATCTAGTTCTAGAGGTATTAGGTTTTCTTAAGCTATAAGGGCTTTATTAATAGCTTCTATAATATTAGAACTAACTTAGTAAAGCTAAATACCCTCTTATAGTCTATTATTATTACTAAGATAGCAAAGATATTAAAAGTAAGTTTACTAAGCGTTAGGAAGGTCTATTAATATAAAATCTACTACTAAATAAGGTTATTAATAAGCTTAGTAATTAAGAAGCTAAAGTATTACTTTAGTTTATTAGTTTTATTAATAGTAGTATTATAAGCCTTACTATTTAACTATTAATAATATTTAGAGTCTTTAGCTTTTAGGGTAATAGTAAGTAATAAAAAAATAGCTTACTAAAGCTCTAGATAAGGTTAATAATTAATAAGGTTAGATCCTTTAGTATACTATTATTCTTAATACTCTTAAAGTCCTTTTTAAGTATTATAAAGCTATCTATAAGTCTTTAGTATATTCTAGCGTTTTGTAAACTATTATAAGCTTTAGCTAAGATATAAAATTACTATAGTAGTATAGAGGGGAGACTTTATAAGCTTAATATAGTATTTATTAAGTACTTATTAACTATTAATAATTAATAAATATAAGTAGCTATAAGAGTTAAAAGTGTTATATTAGGGGTGTTATAAGGGTATATAATTAGACTAAGTATAAGTTAGAATGCTATTAATTAATAAGGCTTATAAAGCTGCTACTAAGGCTCTTCAAGAGTATTATAATGCTTTTATAAGTTAAGATAGTTATTATAACTAATTCTAAATAAGTTAAGTAGTTATAAAGTTAATTTCCTTATTAGTAGGGGTATTATAGAGCTTATACTAGTTCTTAAGTTAATCTAAGAGGTATTTTATACTTATTAAAACCTCTTAGAGTTAACTATACCTATTACCTTTACTTTAGCCCTTATATCTCTTAGTCTACTTATAGAGCAGCTTAAATATATTATTTAACTCTATAAGGATCTATTAGTCCTTATTAGTGAGGGTATCCTCACTAAGGATATAATCTATAGTATACTTAAAGCCCTAAGTATAAAGTATATAACTATTAATCTAGCTATATTTAAGTAAAGCATACTTAACTATTATATATATTAAGTTTTATTAAATAATATTATTTAGTATTAAGTTTAGCTTTTATAATAACTCCTCCTATAAAGTAAAGGTCTTATTATTATTATTAGCTTTATTACTAATAAATAGAAAGCTTTTAGATTATTATAGTGATAATCTAATATGCTTAATAATGTTCTAAAGCTTACTAATAAAGCCTTTTTACTTCTAATAGGTTAGGTCTTCTTAAGTTCTATTAGGACTAAGAAGGAAGTTAAACTTCTCCTTAAATACTTTATTATTAACACTATAAATAATAGTATAACTAATAAGGTTAAGGATATAATTATAGTATTAAATTTAGCGTTATTTAGTATTAATTTTTATATATATAAGTAAAAGAGAAGGGAAGAGAGCTTTAAAGTAAGAGTTATTATTTATAGTATTATTAGAGATAGCTATACTAACTTTATTAAGTAAGCCTTAGTTACTAAGAATAGTATAAATAGTAATAATAATATTCTCACTAAAGTAAGCGCTAAGCTAGTAGTAAAGAGCTAAGAGGTATTATATCTACTTACTTACTTTATTAATAAAGTAGCTAAAAATAGTAATAATTATATATTAATTAAGTGAGGTCTATAGATTAAATAATATATAAACCCTAGTAAGTGCCTTCTATATCTCTACTTAGATCTATACTTTCTTAGAAGTATAAAGTTAGTTAAGTAAAGCCCTCTAACTTAACTTTAACTAATATATTTAGTTAAAAATATTATAATTAAAGAGGTTAAGTATATACTATATATATTAATTACTAAATATTAAGAAGGGGTTATTAGTATTAATAATAAACCTAAAGGTTAGCTTTTTAATCTATAAGACCTTACCTTAAGGTATAATAATAAGAATAAAATATTAGCGCTTAAGTAGGAGCCTATTATTATTAGAATTATCACTAGATATACTCTTAGCGTAGGATTAATCTTAGAAGATATAATAGATAGTCTTAAGGTATACCTTAGCACTAGATATAATAGAAGCCTTTTAAGGTATATTAAGATACTTAGCTTTATTATAGTATTAATAAACCTAATAAGTATTACTTAGATATATTATTAGTATAGTTAAAAGTAGAGTAAAGAAGTAGTATACTTTAAGTACTATTTTAAAGGATCTTATAGATAAAGAAGCCTTTATTCTTAATCTAAGAGGTATAACCTTAGCTACCCTTCCTTAAGATATACTTAATATTAACAAAGCGTTAACTTTTCTATATAGCGTAAAGTAGGGCTTTAAAACTACTATAAGTAGTAAGGTTAATAGTTAATATAATATTAGTAGTTAATAAAGTGTAGATTTAAGTAGTAATCCTATAAAGAGTTAATATATTATAGCTAATAAAGTAATTAAGGTGTTAATTACAGGCTAGTATAGGTATTATAATAGTAGGTGAGAGGTTAAAAAAGATGCTAAGAGGTGTATATAGGTAGGGCTTTAAAGCATAGAGGCAGGCATAGTAGTAGTAGTAGTAGTAACATTACTAGTAATATTAAAAAAGGGTTATTTTTGAGGGCTAGCGAAAGGGTTAAAAATAGGCTTTTTTTAAGCTTTAGTAAGGGGGCTAAAAATATATTAATTAAGTTAGTATAGTAAAAAGTATATTTCTAGCATTTTTAGTACTTCTTAGTAGTATTAGCCTTACTATTAAGAAGTATCTAGCCTTACTTTAGTACTTATTAGCCTAAGAGCATTATTAAACTAATATTTATAACTACTTACCTTTTTTTTTTTTAGAGATATTGTTACGGGCTACGCCTATTGTTAACGTTTGGGCGGTGCTACAGACCTAGGAGAATTCTGCTCTCAGCGACTGCGTTCGCTTAACCACTGCCCTATACCTGTTTTTCCTCCGCATAAGGGGCTTCCTAGAACCCTCCCCTCTTTAGCTTAGATTCCTATAATTAAGGCACCTCTAAGTTGAACAAACTAAGGGCTAGCCCCTTATATATCTAAGCTTAATTTGAATGCCTGCTTCGCTGATTATATAGAGCGATAGATAGCAGGTAGAAAATGGAGCTGACTGGGCTAGAAGCGGCTGGCCTAAAACTAACGTTAGCAAATAAGGAGGTGTTTAAAGCGATCTATGCAGCTATTAATAAGCTTAGTAACTAGCTTAATAACCTAATGATCTTACAGCAGATTAATAATAAGCTAGCTGTAGATCTAATGTAAATAATAGCGGCTGATAACGCGTCAGCATTAGTAACGCTAAACCCTGCGGTAACTCTGTTGGCACTGCTGCTGGCGCTGCTGCTACTCCTTAAACTAGATATTACTTAGGAAATGGGTAGTATTTGGCGCTTAAAGCCCCTCCTTAACCCCCCTAAGTTTGGGGGAAGTTGTAATGAGTATGCTATGTGGGCGTAATAGATATGTGATAAGATTAGGATAGATTAGGCTTTCTACTTAAGTAACTAAGAGGTGTAGTATCTTATTAACTCCTACTTGGAACTTAGAGTATAGCTGGTGGTTACGGCCTTCTATAGCTTGGGAGGTAGTAACAGCTTGTTTAAGCTGGACGCCTTTTTAGCATACTTAGACTGCACCTATAGTAACCTAAACGTGGAAAGTAAAGCCTTTAGAAGACTATTAGAGCTTAAGATGAAATATAATGAAGCCTTTGCTTTATTTCTTCCCTGCTTTGAATGCGCTATTGTAGAGGTAGGCGGCGTAACTTAGCTAGATGGCGTTTAGATTGATTACTTATGTAGGGTACTGTTGTATGAGCTCCTTAATTGTCTGGTTAACTACCTGACCTCCTATAAGTATGCTAAGTATATAAGCCTTATATAGAATATTGTATAGAAATTAGAGGGATTATGTTGTATTTATAACGTTTTGCGCTGGCCTGGGACCTTTGGAATAAGGTTGTCACCTCTGAAGGTGGACGCAGATGGGGATATTAGGATGATGGGTTTAGTGCGCGCCTTGCGCGAAAGAACAGGCGAAAACCCTAGTAAGGAAACGTGTTGTTGTTTTAAGTGTAATTAAGTTGGCTACCTGCGGAAGGACTGCTGAAAGACTAAGAGGTTGAGGGATGGCTTTAGAGCGGCGAAAGCTGTTGAGGAAATAATATACTTAGACTTAGAAGAGACTGAGAAGGAAGAAGATACTTCTGACTT